ACATTAAAAGAAGACATCCGTAATTGTTGATCTGGTTAAAAAATTATTCCGAGTTAAGAATGAGCACATCATTTTTGGCACTAGACAAGACGTCATATATTCGTTTGAAAATAAATGTATCGTGCGTAAGACTATCCCTTCTATTGAGAGAAACTTTTTTATTAATATTTTTTGTCGAGTTTTATTTTTTGAATTATAACTCGAGAATCATCAATACCTTTTACAACACATTTTTCTTCTCTTTCATGATCAGACGTAAATATAATATACAGTGGCCGTCAAAATTAATCACCCATCTATAGTCGACTATTATTATTCCATGTGCTGTTCGACAGTTAGGAAAGGTAAAGAGGTCCAAATTCCAACATCTAGTAGCTACTGATGTCTAGTTCATATAGCACTATTACCAGCATTTCTTTTTATTTGATTGATAATTTATTATAAAGGTATTGAAAAACATAGAATTTTTTATGTTTCAAAATTATTCACCCACCTAGATAGAACTCTTAATTTCTAGTGAATTTTTAATGTGAATTAAAAGTTCCTGAGAATATTATATATTAGAATAAGACTTAGTATTCTGCTGTTATTATCGGTAGCAATAACATTTTGTTATTTATTATAAATAACAAATCAATAGTGAATAACTTTTTTCTAGAAAGTCATAATATAATACGCATAATTGAAAAGTCACTATAGCTAAGAAAAAATAGAATATCATTGCTAGATGTTGACCAAACGGGCTGATTTATTTTGCCATTGATAAAAAAATGTCTATGGCAGAGTATTCAGAATTATATTCAAAATATTCGCAAACACTTCAATGTCCTTGTAGCGAAATATCAGTTAACTACAAAAAACTACTTAATATCACATACACATTTCATCAAGTGTGCACCAGTGATTTTGTCTCTCAAAGTTGGATTAATTATTTAGCAATCACAGTACGCAATTTTACTACCAGAGACTATCGGGAGTCCTGCAGCCAAGCATTTTAATCATTGAGAGCTCTTTGTTAACTAGCGAATGTTACAATTTCTGGCAGTTTGACTCACTTCTATTCCAATCAATATATCAGTGCACTTATTACTCCTTCGGACCAATACAAAAGTGAAACTAATGCATTAGTCCTTCAATTTATATCATTGATGACAAGGAATTTTCTTTTGGCCTTGAAAACCATTCGTGATGTAACTCAAGCGAATGCTTCGCTGTCTGCCTTTCAAACAAATTATGCTCTATATATAAATAGAGAATATTCTGTCATAAGTTCAATCGCTGTAGCTCATTCAAATTGTTCTTGTGCATGGGAAGCTCAATGTGTGATGCCAGCATCTGTCTTTGATGATTCACACACCACTGTGTTATTCATCGTTCCTGGAATGTATAGTGGATGTTTTCCGATGGAAGCTCTTCGTCAATCGAGTCTCGAGTGCTTTTATGATCAAATATGCATATATGAATTCCAGTCATACCTAACATCTAGGATGCCGCCGATGACTCCGACGCCTCTAGACCAGTCACTAGAAAGTAAGTGTAAGTTTTGTGTTTTTTGTTGAACGTGAGTTCAATTTTATTTCAATAATGAAGAAGAAAACACGAAAGAAGGAAAGAATCAAGAAGAGAATGAAAGCATGAAAGAATTAAGAAGAGGAGAATGCCAGCAATAATCATTCTGCATAAAATGGAAGAAGTGCATATGTATATATATGACGATAACACNAATGATGATAGTGAGTGTGAAGATGAACTAAAATGTTGTGGTGGATGTCGTCGTCAGTGTACAAAGCCTATCTTTGTAGACTGAATAAGTGAAATAAATCGGTTTCATTATCATTATTGCGCACAAAACTATCAGAAGAAATAAATATTGGGTATAAAACTATCATCACCACTGAATCAGACTTGTGGTGTGCGTGTATGGGAGAGAAAGAGTGCGGGTATGCACTAAGAGAAAATTGGTACATCCACTATGGATGTGCAGTTCCAGTTTACTGATCATCGACGTCACCGATGTTGACGCTAAGTGAACAACGATGACTTTGGTGCAAATGTTGGTAGATGGTGGGCGTGAGTGTAGATGTGTCTGCATTTATTCTGTGCAGCGATGCCCACATCAACACTTTTTTATTAATACAATATTTATCAATAACTAATAGTATTTTAAATACGTCTTTGAAGGTTGCTGAAATTTCTTCATGTTTGTCAAATATTTCATTATTTAAGTCAATCTAGATTTTCATCATCAGTTTTTTGGGCTCTGCTATAATCAACGAAATTTATTCTATATATAAATATATATATATATATAGCAAACGTATTATGCTTCATGATATAAAACACTACTGAAGATTCTCAATGATTCATAAATGAGTAGTATATGAACAGGAACGACTTCGATCTATGTAATTACATGGTTCCTCGAAAGACGATTTATCACACATGATCTGTATTTGAATGCATTTCATTTAGAATGGATAGTACTATCTCAATATTAATAATAATTCCAGTGAGAAATATCATTTTAGAGAACGTAAGAAAAGTCAGAGATATAGGTTATATTCGTTATAATTATAATGGAAGTTACGACTAAGATAGATGTTTCATCCATTATAATTATAAGTCTTGCAAGGACTATTGTGCTAGAATTAGGAAGAAGGGAAAGTTGAAGTTTTTTCAGTTTTAATTACAACTCAAGTCGAGAATACTTTGTTAGAATAGGCGAATAGATAGCAACCAGCCTTAACTAATGAGGATAGTACTCGGAATGTTCCCTCGACATAGAGAGCTCATATGTTGTTTACAAAGTAGACCTTAATGTCAACAGCCAAAGCCTGAAAGGATTTATGCCCATGGGCTAGCTGACTTATGACTATTTCACAGGGTTTTTGATTGCGGTGAGGCATTTGCGGGAAAATCAAACGATGGCATTTTGGCCTACAATTTTGGCCATAAAGAGGTCTCACAGTTAATAGAATGTACTAAAAATTTCAGCCGAAACGAATGCTTTCTCCTTGAGATACTGAATTTTCAAGTGTTCAACTTTCTGACTGTTCTCTGACACATGATCATTCTTTAGTCAGTGTGGGTGTGGTTGTCGAGCTTCTCTTCACCCATACACACAGCCACACCTTCACTTGAACTCTGTGAACACTTTTGGAATGATACAGTAGAGTTTTAACGTTCAAAAAGTAATCCCCTGTTTTTTCTCTTTTTCTCGTGTTGATCCTAGAAAATTAAATTAGGCAAATCCTATAGCTCCTTTTTTTTCTACAAAACTGGTCCCATATCAGAGAACGTGCTGTTTCAAAGACAAATGAAGGGTTAATCAATTATATTACTTGTGATATTTTTATAACTTAGCCAACATCTAAAAGTCTCAGAAAGATAATACATCAATCTTTGAAACATAATAATGTCGTATAATAATTATTAACATGTATGGGATGCAAATCATGTCAATCACGCATTGAAATGCACCTTTCTAGGATGGTCACGTGCAGGCAACATGAGGTTTCGTGCAAGGCTTTTCACACTGCCTTCGTTTTAACAAACGTGAAAGTATTACTTACGGGTGTACTTAGTATAGTTTCTCATCATAAACCAGGAAACGGAATCGAATTCAACTAATGCTCCTGTATACAAGCGTTGACTGTTGCTAATGATGATCGCAGACGATCTCGGCTCATGCTTCAGTATGTTCGACCGGAATACATAGTGCTCTATCTATCAAGTTATTTATTTACCACGCTCGATGTTCATCCATCTATTCAATTGTCACCTTATTTTTTAAAAAGGTTATTTTTTACATGCACACTACGCTAATCCCTTGTTTAGTTCAGTATCTACTAGTCAATGAGTCTTGTTTCACTCTGCGCAGTTTAGCTCCTCAACAGTGACAATAAAATATAACTATCTGGGCGATATTTTGCGTCGAAACGACTGTTCTTCTAAATCATACACAAAATGTTTTTGCTGCAAAATATCAGAATCATCTAAAAGAAAATATTATTCAAATATAATATATTGAAGCTTTTTTCACGATTCGAACACGAACTTCCAGGCTGAATGATCATTCAAGAAGTATTCGTATAGGTACACACAGATATTTGATTGATCGACGATCATCTTTCCCACTCTTAGCTGAAGTATGGATCGAATAGTACCAAGGCGTGTATTTTATTATATTATTCATTGAGATTTATCCTTCTCAGTCATCTACGAAAATAAAAAACTTGTCGTTGTCTATAGATAGTCTATCATTGCGAATCGAAACTCTACTAAAAATGGATCTCTCACTTGAATGAAAAAGCTAAGAAAAGAGCAATACTGTTTCTGCTATTTCTATGCCTTATGATAATGTAAAAATCATCCAAGAATAAGATCTTGATTGCATTGATTATGTACATATCAGAGACTGATGGGGAAATGAAAAACTCTCCCACCAATGCCTGTTATGAGGCTTTCTGTGATTCTCGCCTGTCTCAGCTAATCACGCCAATATCTTTCCATGAAAAGTCAATATAATCAATACATGTTCATTCATTTCACTTCTGAACAGTAGTGTCTGAAAACGAAATATTTGTGAGGTGTGGGTGTGGATCTGAGTGTGCGTGTAAAGAAGTAAACCAGTCGCACGTGCACCCACCCTCATGTTGTCTTCGAAGACACCCCAGAGTGGCTAACTGGTGACGGAATGAACGCGGCGATGCTGTGAATCCACATGTTTGTTAGGTCTCGTACGTCGTGCGAGTCTCTGCAATCCGTGCATCGCCAGGCGGCTGCTTGCGTACCACTGGTGATAGTCTCTGGTCGCGCGCATAATTACATACAGGAATGAAGATGGATTCGTGGCAAGGAAAGGGAGGGGTAGGAGAAGTATCAATCTTGTAAAAAAGAATGCTTGCGCAAAAAAACTATTCATTGCTTGAAAAAACAGGAAAAGAAATCGAAGACAGGATTTACTACTTTGTTGAGCACAAAAAAGCAACCAATCAAAGTTATTTTTGAATTGAGAATCGTTGAACTCGGTGATTACAGCAGTCGACAACATACAGATTGCCTTGGCGATCGAATGACAAACCCTCGGGAAGGTTCAATTGGTTTGCTTGTTGTCCCTTACCCTTCCCGCCAACAATCACGTTTCCCTGTGATGCTCCTTTGCACCAACGTGACACTCGATTACTCAACCGCTCCGCTACATAGATTGTGCCCAGCGTATCTACAAGCATTCCTTGAGGAGACGACAATTGATTCAGAGCATTCCCTTCACCTCGCCCACCAGCTACGACTATTCCTTCTTTCGTATCCTTCATCCATTTCATCACACGATGATTGTTCCAGTCCGAGACGTAGACAGAATGATCGAGATCAACAAAGATGTAGGCAGGCCATTTGAGTTGATTGAGATGATCACCTAGTCCATTGCCACCCGCCACCACTGTTCCCATCTTCTCTTCCATTCGATATCGTCTCACTTCATTCGTGCCCCAATCAGAGACGTAGAGAAATCTTTGATCGTCCATCGTCAATCCCCAACAATAAATATTCTCGATGATAATTTCTCCACTTGTTCGATTTCGACGAAGCCACCGCATCACGCGTCGGTTTCCTTTGTCACAAATGATGATACTGTCTGTCTCTTTATCGACTATCACATCTATTGGTGTATTCAACTGATCAGCTCGATTTCCTTGTCCGTTACCACCGGCTACCACTTCACCACTCGTAGTGCCAGCCTTCCATTCCATAATACGGTGATTATCGGTGTCAGCAATGTAAACAGTTTGATCATCATCTACATATAGACCTTGAGGACGGTTGAGTTGGTTCAATGCACTGCCTTGTTCTTGACCTCCAGCGACGGTGATTCCGTTCTCTGCCCATCTGGCATCTCTGGGAATGTTCAGAAGTAAAACTGCTATAGAGATAAAAAAGAACATGTTGCAAGGAATAATATTCGATCAGCTTCAAGAAATTCTAGTGGAATTTTTGGAACTTTGTATCAAATTTCGTTGGATTTGACGGAATATTTTGAAGCCTTCTAAAGTTTTTCTGAATATTTCAAACTTCCATTCGATTTTCTGGTCATTTCCTGAAACCTCCATGATTTTTGTACAACTTATTTATTTCTTATGAATTCCTGTCAATTTTTTAACGTTTTCCAATAGTTTATCGAACTTTTGAAGATTTTTGGGTTGGCTGTCACTTTGCATATTTTTCACAAAATCTCCTATTTTCTCCGATATTCTACTCACTGTCTTAAATTTTGTGCAATTTTCTGAAATTTCCTTTCCTTTTCTAGGGTTCTGTCAAATCCGCTTCAATTGGCCGAAATTTCGTTGGATTTTACTGGAAACTTGTGCAGAATTTTCTGGGTTTCTTGGAGATTTTGAAAGGCGTCTTCAGACCTATTCATAATCTTGTAAGTTGTCTCTCAATCTTGCAGGATTTTTCCGTATTTTTTTGCGATTTTCGCCAGTTTCATGAAATTTTCCCAGTTATTGTCGATTTAATTGCAGATTCCGCAACACCTATGCGACTTTCTTTTTTATTTACCGATTTTCTCCATGATTTCCTTGAATTTTCAGGAATCTAACAGAAATAGTTCGCCTGACTTTGCGAGTATGCTATCTTCAGCGATTTCCCTTATTTTCTTCGGGCTTTAATCGTAGTTTCTAGTAATCGTCTGCGTCCGTTACGACTCTTCTTCATTTTTGGCGAAATATCAGTTGTTCGCGAGAATGTCTTTGAAATGTAGCAGTATTTTTTGTGGTCTCTTGTGGTTTCTCGCAATTTTTCGACGTTTCCGTACTTTTGCTTTTTATTTGCCGAATTTTCCTTTTATTTCCATCGAATATTTTCTGGATATCTCAGAGTTTTCTTTGGTTTTATCAAGTTTCCCTGAAAATCCCTGTGCTTTATATGGTTTTCTGGAGGTAGTCTGATGTTCATTTGATTCCCTAGAATTTTCATAAATCTCTCGGCGCTCTCTTGAGTTTTCTCGATTCTTTGGGAGTTGTTTTTGGAGTATTTGGAGATATTTTGCTATTCGCGAAGAATTCATCGTATTTTCATGCGATGTTCTGATCATTCAGACAAGCACTTCAAAAAACCCGTTAACATTTCGTTACCACGCCGTTTTGACGAATTTCTTAAGCGTATTAATGCGTTCAAGATGGATCAGGCATTAAAGAGCGTTCATTTCTTTTTAATTCACGCGTTTTTACTTGCGTTTTTGTTAGTTTCTACTCGTTTTACCGCGTTTATACTTTCATACGCGTTTAAACCTAGGGGAAACAGCAGCCTTTTGCACTTGAAGCTATTTCATGCTATTTTAAAGTACTTCGAACTACTTTAAAGTACTCTGAGCAACTTTGAGCTAAATTAAAGCTTCAAAGTTGCTTAAAAGAGTTCAAAGTAAGTCTAAAGTAATTCAAGTGACGGAAAGTACTTCAAAGTAGCTTGAAGTACTTTTGAGTACTAACGTAATTCAAAATATTTTGATGAGCTTGAAATTACTTTTTAATACTTTAAGCTATTTCCGCACACTTTGAATTACTTCTAAGTACTTTGGGCTACTTTTGTACTTTGCTGTACTTTTCTACTTTAAGTCTGCTTTTTCCCCCTAGGTTTAAACGCAAGAATTTTAACTGCCAAAACGTGCTTTATGCGATGTTTCATTTCCTGATGTTTTAACTCGTTATTTCGTTTTTCATGAGATTTAATACTCTTTGAATAGACATGTCGTCTTGAACCAATGTATAAGACAGAATTTTCATCGATTAAAAGTACACTAACTTTATAGTGACTGAAAAATATAAATAGTTATCTTTTTAAGTAATTAAATTTTTCCTACAACCATAAATACTTCGTTGATGCGTTTCAACCCTCTGTGTAAATCACAGAGGCCGAATCGATCTCAGTTATGAGATCATTTTCCATTATAGATGGCGGTGCAAAAAATTGTTGTGAACAAAACATATTCTAAAGCTGTTTCTTCTTGATTAATTTGAATTCTTTATAATGAGTAATTCGAATTCGGATAGAAAATAACCTTTGAAATCGTCTATAGCTGTAGTCCAAGGCCGTAAGTGCTGTCACCGGTACTCGTCAGAACCGCGATATATTGGCGGTAGTGTGAACCAACGTGCGACATGCGTATTCATTGTTTTGATCTGTAGTAGTTTATTCAGCTAAGCAGAATAGATTAAAGCTAAATTATCCACCTATTCCATCATTGACTGCATTGGACCAACCTTTGGACATCTGACAATAGGAATTAACCATTTTATCCTCTGTACTCATTCATTTTATCTACGTTATTATCATCGCATCACAACATTGCAAGAAAATATTTTAAGTGTATAGAAGATAACTCTTACGACCGAACCATTGATGAATAAGTGAAAATTGACATCTTTTCGTATTTTTCATGTATAGCTCTTATTAGTTCTATTTTTTTCGCCTTTACATAGTCTTTGTCAAGTTTCTTATAGTTCTTTGAGTGCTACCTATCATTTATCTATTCTTAGTATAATTGTTAGATTTTTCTATTTCTCTCATAATAAAAATTGGCATTTTTCTCTTATGTTCTTCATTTCTTCTGCTGCCCAAAAATGGTTACACAATATTTGCGGGCCGACACTTGCGCGCGCAACACCTACGCGCACGACTTTTGCGCGCAACGACACTTACGTGCATCTACATTTTCGCACACGACTCTAACACACAGGGTGAGATATGGATGGGGGTGTCAGTGTGTGTGATGGTTTTCATCTTCTCCTAATCTACATCTGACACCCACACTCAAACACATCCGCACCCACACACACACTACTCTGCACGTTAAAGTCGTGCGCATCAGTGTCGTTGCACGCATGAGTCGTGCGCGCAAATGTCGACGTGCAAACATCGTTTCATGGCCTTAAATATTATATACTTTTTTAAACAACTTATTGAGTTTTTTCTTCATATAATCAGTTAACAGTTCATATGGCCGGTAGATCGACAATTCAAAATGAAAGTCTTAATATGAGTCAGGTTTAAAATTTTTTATGTGTTCATGAAATATTTTACTATGACATAGGTAACGCAGTTATGCGTTAAGAATCAAACCTGAGCATCAATATTAGTCATTCATCTTTCTATTTGTTGTGTAGAGCAAAATAAAATGAACTTTATTCATGAATTGCTTATCAATCATACACATGCATAAAAATTAGTCATTTACGAGCTTATTTGTTGTTAATGGCGGTCTCTTTTCTTTTGTCTCTTTCTCAACTGTTTTGTTAGCATGTGTTAACGAGACGGGTGAGAAAAAGGCATGAAAGAAAAGAGACCACTGTTAGCCTCAAGTAAGCTAGTATATGATCACCTTTTATGCATGTAAATAGTCAACAAGTGATTCACGCATAAGGCTCGTTGTCATTTTTTTAAAATTTTCTTATTGCCTTAACAAAGAGAAATTAGCGGATAATAATAGCTAGATACCATTAGTGAGTTTTGAGTATATATACAGTATTTTATCAGTTGAGAGTTCATTTTGAATTTTTTAAATGTTTCGAATATATAAAGTGGAACAGAGAGAAAATGTATGTTTGAGAATAATATCTTAGCCTATCACCTAAAATTTATTATACCCCATTGGCATTACCATTAAGAGGGTGTGTGTGGGTGTGAGTGTGGGTGTGTGTTGGTGTGGGTGTGGGTGTGTGTGGGTGTGGATGTGGGTGTGGGTGTGGGTGTGGATGTTGGTGGGTGTGGACGTGAGTGTGGGTGTTGGTGGGTGTGGACGTGAGTGTGGGTGTGGTGTGGGTGTTGGTGGGTGTGGACGTGAGTGTGGGTGTGGTGTGGGTGTTGGTGGGTGTGGATGTGGGTGTGGGTGTTGTCCCTATACAACATACACACCCTCGGTTCACTTCAAAGAACTATTTTATTCTGTGACCTTGTTCATTCACATAAAATTCAGCCTTTCGATTGCTTACTTAACAAGAATTAATTACTATAAATAAACAGCTTAGGGATATTTAAATAATATTTATTAAATACTACTGAGACTCTTTAGATAATGCTTGGAATTACATAGGTATTCACTCCCAGAGTTTGAGAATAAATAAATAGTTAACTGTCCATTAAAATAAAGTAAATTCCTATAAAAACTGTCTTCAACTTTTTCCTGTCGGCTTTCACGTTACCAACTTTCCATCTGCTGTGGCAAAAAACTATAATATCCTGAATCTGCGGATTAATCTTCGAAACGTCATTAACGAAAGACGTAAGTCATCAAAAGGAATTATTTAACTGCATACTATGCTTCAGTGCAGAATATACAAAAAGTTTTGTTTGTCTTGTTGATCTATCTCAAATTTAATGTTCGTAGAATGGATTACAATTTTCTTTTTCGATATTTGCATTTTTATACACTCAGTCCAATACTACAACAAGTAAAAACTATTGCGATTCATTCTACCAACTGAAACATGACTTCAATGTTTTCGGCTCTTTTCGAAAAGAAAAATAATGTGAATGAAATTTTTAGATGATAGTTATAATAATTGTATATAAAATTGCACATATATTTCAGTTAACTATTGCCACGTGCACTTCATATAATTAAATAAATATCAATGTAAATAGAAGTATAGAACTTTCTTGGCAAGAATTCGAAATTAACGTTCTTTCTTTAAGTTAAATTATTTTTTTCGTTATCTTAAATCAAAGAGTTTTCATTGAAAAAATACCTTGAGTTTCTATTGTCATCAATTTCCATTCTTATATATTGTTTATGTCAAAGCCAATTCATCGGATTCAACTATTTTACTTCTACATGCGCATACTGGATATTTATTTTTAGGTAAAATAAAACTGGCAAATACAAGAAAAAAACTCAAGGGAAGACTCTCTTTTCTTATTGATTGAAACATTGATAAGAACAAAATAAATCAGCCACTTCAAATATATCTTCTATTTGACATTTTATCATCAAAATCTTACTTAGAGGCCGCATGAAAAGTATAGTATTAGTTTATCTGTTGTTTACTACTATTGCTCATGATCAATCAACTTGTGATGAAATTTCATTCACTAATCAAGCTAGATCGGGTGCACGAGCACCAACTTCAATAACAAATCTAACAACAAAACCTCTTTCATTCATTGTCATTCATCATGCTGAGAACCCTCCAAGGTAGATAGATTCCATTGTAAAATAATGTAACTCATTTTATGATTCATAGCTGTTATGATGATGAATCATGTAGTGAACGAGTGAAAGAGATTCAAATTTTTCATCAAAATAATCAAAGTTGGGTAGATATCGGTTATCATTTTCTAGTTGGTGAAAATGGTAAAGTTTATGAAGTTCGAGGATGGGATCGTCAAGCTGCTCATTCACCTGGCTGGAATAATGATGCATACGGTAAAAAAATGCTATATAATTTTAAAAAACTGTATTTTTGATATTAAAGGCATTTCTTTCATTGGTTAATATCAGTACATCAAGCCCAAATGAAAACGCACTAAAAACGGCACGTTCATGGATTAGTTGTGGTGTTGAACGACGTTATATCACAAAAGACTTTTATGTTATTACTCATCGGCAATCACAACGGCCAGGCTATGCCACATGGTAGCGTTTTATCTTTTTTTCTGAATGGTATTTTTCGTATTTGAAAATTGCATTTGAGTTCGAACGCCGTATATAAAGTAAATGCCAATGACATATTAAAAATCCAAATACGATTAAAATGTCTAAGCTTTCGACAATGAGCTATGATCGTTTCACTGAAGCTTTAGTTTAACGCATTGTATGTGCAAAAGAGAACAATAAAAGAATGCTCGTTCCATGAGATAGTCAATTTTGAGACATATCAAACTCTCGAGTCTTTCTTGTAGTATCATGATACAATTTGATTGCACGGAAATAAGACACGAAAATATCTGATTGGTGAAAACAGAAATTATGTCAAGCAATTGATGAAGGTGGTGATTAGGTGCAACTGATAACTAGAGGGTTTACGCTACACATATTAACACATTGTTTAGTTAAATGATATAATAAAGAAGTGTGCACGACCATCAGCACGTAAACATAAACGAAATTTATACATATAAATCTAACAGCTAGGCTTCGTATGCTGGATTATTTGTGAATCGTTCGTTTTTCTATTGTTCATCGATAATGATATATAAGGTTTTTTCTTATTTTTAATAAGTTTGTAACTTTTTAACATCTATTTCTTGTCGTCTGAAGTAGCATGTGTTCAATGTCGTACCACTTCAAATTTTCAATGTTATTCGTATAACAAGTCATAAGTGCACATTTGAAGACCGTGTCTCATACTCAATAGCGTATCTTTTCAACAACTCAGCAGCTCAAAAGTAAGAACTGTCAGTGGCTAGAGTTCGTCTCTAGTCAACGTTCGCTTCCTTGTTGAAGACGAACGTAGGTGTCGTCTTCGAGCACACTCCAAAGTACCTAACTGGCGATGGAAACAACATGACGGGTCCCCGGATTCACACGTTCGTCACGTTTGGTACGTATGTTATGTAGGTCTGCCCAGTTCGTGCATCGTCAGGTGGCAGATTCGGCGCCGCTGGCGACGGTCTCTGGTCGCGCGCGTTACTATATATAGGAGAGAGAAGGGTATGTAAAGTGGGAGGGGGAAGGAACAAAAGAAGTAGCAATGTGGTAAGAAGAATGCTGCTGGAAAGAAAATTATTCTCAGAAAAAAACTATTCAATGATTGAAAATACACGAAAAGAAATCGAAAACAACATTCATTCCTTTGCTGATCAGGAAAGAACAAACAATCAAAGTCAATTTTCAATCGAGAATCGCTGAACTCGATTATTACAATAGTCGACAACATACAGATTGCCATGCTGATCGAATGACAATCCCGTTGGATAGCTCAACTGGTTTACATTTTGTCCCCCACTCCGTGCACCAGCGATCATTTCTCCTTCTGTTGCTCCGTTGCGCCAACGCACCACGCGGTTATTCCCAGACTCTGCCACATATACTGTGCTCAATAAATCAACGAACAACCCATTGGGTTGCGTCGATTGATTCAGAGCGTTCCCTTTACCTTGACCGCCAGCCACAGCAATTCCTTCTTTTGCACCCTTCATCCACTTCATCACACGATTATTGCCCCAGTCCGAGATGTAGACAGAATAATCTCGATCAATAAACACGTGACTGGGACCCTTGAGTTGATTGAGACGATCACCGCACCCATTGCCACCCGCCACTACTGTTCCATTCGTCTCTCCCACTCCATACCGTCTCACTTCTTGGCGTCCGACGTCAGAGACGTAGAGAAATCTTTGATCGTCCATCGCTAACCCTCGACAAGCGATGTTCTCGATTATGGTGTTTCCTTTTGTTCGACTTCCACGAGACCATCGCACCACTCGTGTATTCCCCAAATCGCAGATGACGAGACTGTCTGTCTCTTTGTCGACAATTACACCTGTTGGCCCCCTCAATTGATCAGCTCGATTTCCTTCACCGTTGCCACCGGCTACTACTTGACCACTCGTTGCACCATGTTTCCATTCTACAATACGGTGATTGGAGCTGTCAGCAATGTAAACAGTTTGATCGTCATCCACATAGAGACCAAAAGGATTATTCAGTTGGTTGGGTTTATCACCTCGTTCATGACCTCCAGCGATGGTGACTCCGCTTTCTACCCACCTGGCATTAGCGGGGATATTCAGGATGAAAACTGCAGCAGAGAAAGAAAAGAAGTTCTAGAAGAAATGATATTCTATTTACCTTATCACACCCTAGTGGAATTTTCATAAAATTCGATGGAGTTTTGTTAGAACTTTGCGGGACGTTTTCAAATCTTCTAAAACTTTTGCAAATCTTTCACGATCTTCGAAAAACGGCTTTTCTGCAAGTTTGTGCATTTTAATGCGATTTTCTGACCGTTCTGCTGAATTTTTACAACTTTTGTTAAATCTGCCCAATTTTGTGGAACTCACATATATTTTCGAAGAAAATAGTGAGTGTAAGTTTTAAGTTCGAGTTT